TGGATTTGCTATGAATATACTGGCCCATGATGAATCCAACATTTTAAAAGGATGTAAACCCTGTCCTTGTCTGCAGGGAACTTGCTTAGTCTCTACAATGCCATTTCTTGTTAAAACGTGGAGAAAATGTCATTCTGTGGGCTCACAAAAGCTGAATGACCCTAAGTGACACAACCTGAGCGTGACAAGAGTCTCTGCTGGAAAGCACAAGTACTGTCCTCAAGGTGGCCAGTTCAGTCTATTCATTTACTTCTTTATTGCAGCCTGGGAATCCAACCCAAGGCTCGGAGCGCTAGGCAAGAGCTGCACCACTGAGCTATGCTCGTCTCCAGTCCTGTGTGTTTATGGCTTTACTTCAAGCACTCTCTGGGAGCACCTTGTAAGAACATCATTGGTTTGGGGAGATACCTGCACTCAATTGCCCAGATACACTTAACGCTACTAGAGTGTGGGTCATTTACACACTCCTTTCAGATCTTGAGAGCTCAGGAGTGTGCAGGCATGACACACAGGACATTGTTTTCCTCATATGGTCGTCTAGAATGTGTGGGGGCCTCCAGGATCCCACCAGGCAGATATAACCACAGCTGGTCAGTGGCCTTCTGTGGGAACGCAGCAGAAATGTTGTCAGGTGTGTGGGGAGAAGCTGGGGTGCATCTCCCTTTCTGGACACCACCCACCACGGCCCTGTCTCCCAGGCAACTGTATCTGTATTTCTAACCAGTTTTCAAATGCCTCAATGCTCAGCAGGCTCTTCTTGTACAGTGCTAGTTCCACAGAGCCCAGTGAAATTCTGAAATTCCTGGGTGTGTTCCTCCCGAAGGGATGGATGATAATCTGAAAGATTTCCTTCTGGAAACAATCAAGGAGATGACTCAGCTTGAACTTGGGGGGTTTTGTGACCCCAAAGCAGTTTCAGGGGAAAGGCAAGGGGGTGGGGGTAGAATCTGAAGGTCAATTTCCTGCCCAGGCCTTCTTGCCGGAAGGAGTGGTTTGAGTTTGCTCTGCATCCTGTTCCTGGTCAGGCTGCTCCGTCAGTGTTACTGAACTTGAGAGA